AGCTGCTGCCCCTCCCAGAATTAGCTCTAGAGAATGCCTCCCATTCCTGCAATAGCGCCATTTCTTAAATTGTTTGGCTTTTTGCTCTATGGCGAAACTCTCACTGTAGCTTCCGGACCAACAACAAAAAGCACCATTTACTATTATCGATAAAACTATCGAGAGGTTTTCGGTAAAAGATGTGACCATGATAAAAAAAGTAAAAATTCTTTCCTTACTGATTATTTCCTTGATGCTCTTCGGCGGCTCAATCACAGAAAGGAATTATCAGTAAAAAATATGCCGAGACACACGAAATAAAAGGAATAAGGAAGCTCTGTTGAGGCTTGAAGAGTAAAGCTTTTGACGCTGCTTCAATTCCTTTTTGTTTGCAATGCATTCTTCTTCCATTCAGATTCAGGTATTATTTGAATGCTGTATGGCCTATAGAATGAATTGTGGAGGGCAGCTTATGTAAAATTCACTTTTTCATCTTCCTAGACCAGTCTGGTACCGATAGGGGGACGAAAGGCTTAGTTGACTCGAATGAGATTTAGTCCAAGGTTTGACCTCGGGCAGTGCGCTTAGTAAGTGGCGCCTTTTGCCACTCACTGTACGTAGGGGATAAGGGCTAGTTTTCGAACAACGTGTGAGAAGCGGGACATAAAATCACATATTTTGCTCATTTTTTTAAGACTGAGCCTTTTGAATTAGGAAAGATAGCTGGGAGCATGCCCTTGGACGGAATGCGAGTGACCACCTCAATATCGGTGATCAGCAATGCCTCAAAAGGAGATATTATTGAAAAGAATAGCTCAATATGGTTAATGAGATACACATGTAGTACTAAGGCCACGATCAGCTCGTTGAAGTGGTTCCAAACCCAATGCCTTGCTCAAGTTCGGCACTTACAAATATTGTCCTTTTTTCCAAAATCATCCTAGCTTTCCAGGACTGAATTCATTTGGGCAAACTGTTTTGCCCAATAACGCATCTTCTCTTAGCACTCCTACTCGCTCGATCTTTCCGAGTTTATCGAATCTGTGTTTAACTTCTTTACATAGAAATAGAATTCGAACCCGAAATGAAACACTTATTTGCAGGTTCGATCGAAGACGGCGCCAGCAGCGTCGGCCCGAGGTCGCCGTACGGTGGTCACAGCAGCGCTGATCTTCGGCACGTTCCTTGTTGGCTGGACTCCGGCCAGCATTTTGTTTCTGCTCACTGCTGACGGCATGCCACTGTTCCGCAAGTCCGGAGTGCTGATTAACGTGCTGTCGATCGTCGTTTTAATCAACATCATGATTAAGTCACTGACAAATCCAATCATATACGCTACGAGGTGAGTTCGAGCTATTCCACATGACATCTTAAAGTCTTTGATATAGTACGATACCCTCCGTTGAAGAAGTTGATGCTATTTACATGAGAGGGGGTTGCTATTTACATGAGAGGGTTGCTGGCCCAAGGCAAGCCAAAGGGCAGAGCCGAAGCCTGAGGGTGGTGATGGGACTCCGGGCTGCTAAAGCACTTCCTATGACGGCAAAAGCACGTCCCACAATCAACATTTGTGGTCATTTCATTCCAAAATGAAACTAGGGCGTAAAATTTGGGATAATTATCAACGCTGACATTGACCCTGCTTAGCCGGGAACGGTAAACTTTGCAAGCAGCTTTATCCTACCCAAGAAGGGATCACTCCACTGGTAGTCGCGGGGTGCGCCTTTAGAGAGATGAAAATGGGCAATAATTCCCTTTTCCGAACCAATGGTGAACCCACTGTTAAAATTTGAGTTTAAGAGGTCAAAAATTAAATTTCTACGTGTTCAGAATACCAGAAATTCGGCACTTCGTCCTTCATCGTCTGCTGTGGCGTATCGTTCCACTACGCGAGGAACGAAGTGTTCGAGATGACTCATCAAAGAAGGTGGAAACGAAACTGTTGCGCAGTTCTGTGCTACCTGAATCACTGTAGGCTCGTGCCATCGTTACGGAGTGGGAGAGTAGGCAAACTGTGTCAGGGTTCAACGACAAAACCCCCACAATGGGTTCACCTCAGGTCGCACAAGAAAAACGCCACTCGCTTAGGAAGCCCATGTTGAGCAGAATTGACGCGAGCAAAGCTCAGGATTGCAAACCTGTAGGCATATGAAACGCGCATGGCAAAATGGGTTCTGCGCATATCGGGGAAGAATATGAGGTATAATGCCTCCAGGAGTAAGGACTATAAGAGAGACGAAAAGGAAACTCTGGGCGAAATGGAAATTGCTGTCGAGCCTTCGGGGAGTCTCGTCTCTTCCCCCTAAAGAGGTCCTGCTTTTATCAAAGAAGATGTCTGCCCGGTTTACTCGTGCTTTACCACAACGATGCCCCCGTATCTTGCGATAGCGCCTATGTTTCTTTCACTCGGATTCGTTTGATATTGTATTATAGCATGCTTTCAGAAATTGTCGCCGAAACTTTAGTCTACAAATGAGATGGCTCTGAACGCTCGACAGGACATAGGAGGCAGAATAAGAAAATACTAGGACTGATGAACGGCGACTAGTTGCTCCAGGAATGCTCTGTTTTTTTTTTGATTAAATAAGAGCAAAATATATTACAAAGTCTGAATTTGGAGCCAAATTTGATGAAAAATCCAATGAAGTATCCACTCTTGCAGATCAATACGTCTGAAGCATAGTTTCATTGTCAGCCAGAGGGGCCACAATGTCTAGCAGTCGTTTCACAAGATTACTGGGTTATGGGCGATACCCTTCGCTCCAAGCGGGAATCGAACCCGCACCCGTCACCTCTCACTTCGCGGCATGCTGAGCGGTCGTGTTGAGTCCATCTCAGAATCATTACGGCTGCTGCAACAGCGAGAGATTCCGGGTTTGATTCCTCCTCCTGGGAGCGAAGGGCTTTGCCTATCACTTGATTCTTGTGGCAGCTTCGAAAGGCGAGCTGCGGCCAAAAACAGCAGTCAATAATCGAAAACCAGTAGCGATTGGTCTCACACAGAGTAAAGTAATAAAAATGGCTCGAGGGCGTGAAATCATATGCATCGGGCGCTAGGCAGTCTGTAAAGTGCAATTTACAACTGATTGCTTCCATGTTTATAAACCGCCTTTAATGAACGGGCCTTCGACTGCAATTGTTCCAATCTGGCAATTACCATTGTTTTGTTGTGCTGTTTTCATTATTTATGCATAAATATTCATCTGAAGCCGATCTGTTGTTCTTTCATTGGCAGTAGCATTTACGTTGTCAGCAAAATGAACTCGGGCTTATACCAGTTAAGGGGAATCCTCGACAGGAGCGTAGCCACAGCAGAGGGAGAGCGGCCGCTAATTTCATGCCTGAAAAAGAACCCAGAAATTTTTCGACTCAAGGTTGTTTGGAGCGCATTCTATGTTTATCGAGCTCGAGCTTTTTGCAGACAGCGATTATTGAAGGTCTCAGAGGGGTTTAGAGCGAACGTGGGGTGGGGTGCTCAATGATGCACTTTGTGGCCCAAAAAAGCCAGGAGAGCTCCGGCAGAAAGACGCAAAGCGAACTTGTCTTGGCGTTGATGTTCCGCTCGACGACGGGCAAACGGCTAAGACGGTGTATGTGTGAACAGGTTTACCACAACGCGTTTGGTAGCATCATGCGAAACCATACTCCAGTCGAAGTGCACCAATTGTGCCGCTGCTAACAACACTGCTCATCCAAATCACAAACCAGACTAGTGGGCGGATCGCTTTTGGGGGCGGTATTTCGGGTATCTGCTCGCACGGATTCCTTTCGTCCTGGAAATCGTATAATGGCTTCTCGTTGGTAGTTAAAAGGCATGCCCCAGGATCGCACTGGTGTGGCTCTTGCACACGAATGTGAATGTATCGGTGCCAAGTGGGCCGGCAGTGAAGAAAAAAGGAAAAGAATCCGTCGAAAACGCTCAGGTTGAGGGCTCACTCACCTTCCTAATTGGCTGTGCTAAAGGAACGAGAGACTAAGCGCGAAGAGGAGAGTATGGGGCGAGAGAGCGCATCAGATGAGAGAGCACCAGACAACGGCCTGATAAGAGAGCTCGTTCGCTGCAGCTCGAGCAGCTTACTTTGCAAGCCCAAAGCGTTCTTGTCGGTCGAATTCCGTGCACGTGAACGCCACATTTGTGATTGTCCCCTAGGGTTCTATACTTCTGACCGAAGAGAAGAGTTCACACGACCTCTGCCTGGGTTGTGCCTTTAAGTAATGCTTCGATGTGGCACATACACTGCGTCCCATAATTATACGTCCACTTAAAAATTCCCAAAATCTCACAAATACAGATGTTTTTGAAAAAAGTCTCCAGTGTGATAATGTGTCAAATATAAATGCGATATTGCCTAGCAACATCGACTTTCCATTTATGATCACAGGAATTTTTTCCAATAATTTTCTTGTAAAAGCCACTTAGCTGACGTCCCAAAATTATACGTCCACCCAATGTTTATCGATTACTTTTCACTTCTGTTCCACGAAACTTTTTCATTGTGGTGACACTTTACTTCTTAAGGGGACAGCATAATAAAAACTGCTGTTGGATTCTGAAAAGGGTTAGATTGTCGCAAAAACTGTTGAACACCGCAATCGCGCCAGATTTGAACCAAATTCACGCCAATCTCAAGAATTTCTTCAGGGATCTCACATGATATGAACTTCAGAGGAGCTCTAAGGGTCTTCATTACTTTCCGATAGGAACAAAGGTCGTGTCTCTGAAAGAGACATCCTTTTTAATCCAGCGGTGCTCTGCCCTCGAATCTTCTTCAGAACTTAATGCCTCAACGGAACCAATATTTCATGCGTGTGAAGGAATTCCAAGTTCGTTCTTGATTGGATGTGAAGGGCATCATCTGTGCTAAGAAGAATTCATGTCATCAAAAATGGTGCGATTCTTGCATGCGAGGATGAGACCGACATAGAGCGAGGTCGGTTTTTACTTGGTATGCATGAAGGACTACCTGTCTTTTATTCTCGCTTTTTCTTTCTTATAGTGGTGCTTCACTAAGAAAAAAGCCACCGAGGAAAGGTAAACGTGAAAAGAAAAACAGGCAAATGCTAAAACACATCGAGCAGAAGCGAACCTCATTTCAATCGCTTCAGCTGCATCGTAATGGCAAAGCCGAAACATTTTTCGAGTTTCATGGCACAGATGATGTCCTTCACATTTTCCAATCAAGATCGAACTTGGGATTCCTTCACACGCATGAGATATTAGTCCGTTGAGGCATTAAGTTCTGAAGAAGATTCGAGGGTAGAGCACCGCTGGATTAAAAAGGATGTCTCTTCAGAGACACGACCTTTGTTCCTATCGGAAAGTAATGAGAGACCCTTAGATCTCCTCTGAAGTTCATATCATGTGAGATCCCTGAAGAATTTCTTGAGATTGGCGTGAATTTGGTTCAAAATCTGGCGCGATTGCGTTGTTCAACAGTTTTTGCGACATTTTTCCTTTCTCAGAATCCAACAGCAGTCTTTATTATGCTGTCCTTCTCTTAAGAAGTGAAGTGTTACCACAATGAAAAAGTTTCGTGGAACAGAAGTGAAAAGTAATCGATAAAGCAATCGATAAACATTGGGTGGACGTATAATTTTGAGACGTCAGCTAAGTGGCCTTTTACAAGAAAATTATTGGAAAAAATTCCTGTGATCATAAATGGAAAGTCGTGTTGCCCTAAGACAATATCGTATCGATTTTACACATATCACATGGAAGAAATGTTTTTAAAGAACATCTGTATTTGGAGGTTGCGGAAATTTAAGTGGAGTATTAGTCAAGCTACCGCTTCGTGTGGCACATATATGTACTTAACCGATGCGCTCCCTCTTTATCGTAACCACTCTGAGAGAGTTGAATTAATAAAGAAATAGTAGCTGGGATTGGGTTACCCGGCGAGGGGCTCGTCGCGCGGCACCAAGGCAGAGTGAGCGGATGACTCGCATAGCTCCACCTTCCAGTGATACACTACCTGTGACAGACCGACCTACAGTAGCGGTCAAAAGAGTTCGCGATTTTAGGTAACGGTTTGTAATGCAATATTTTTTCTCGCTCGAGCCACGCCCTCCAAAGATTTATATATAGAACTCGCATTGCTTTCATATCCTCGAGTCTGAAAGAATCAGGATTATTCGAAGAAAAAAAATCTCGAGGCACATTGTTGACCAGTTGATAATTTTTCTGCCATAAAAATGAGAGCGCGGAAACCGTTTTGGGGTAAGCTTTTGACCGGTAATATACAGTAGCGGTCAAAAGTTTGGAAACTTTTTTTATTTTGATCTAGCGCGGCCGATACACAACGAAATTGTCCCAAATTTAGATATTCCATACAAAATCGAGTTCAGAATACGACGGGGAAGAACAATTTCCAAAAAACCTATAATCATATTTGAGAAATAAGATTTTTTTTCAAGTAATGGCGCGTCAAAAGTTTGGAAACTTTTTGTTTCCCTTATCATATGATTCCTACTCTTCAATGTTCACTTGTTTCTGTTAATTTTAGTTAAACCATTGAGCAATGTGTAATTTCAAAATGAATTCATATGCAAAGAAAGCAGTTTTTCCATGGGGGTCCTTTTTTAAACCCTACAATCCGGAATACGAAATTGAAACTGATTCTTAGTAGTTCAGTCTCTACGGAAGCAATATTATCGGATGTTTCTAGCGTTATTAGGAGTCGAGTAAGCATAAGAAGAATGATCATTCACAAAAAAGTATCTTCACAAGAAAGTTGGTCCTCTTCAAATACTTCGAAAGGTGGTTGGCACGTCCCGTGCCCCCAACATTCCCAACTAAGAGACAACTTTTTCTGGTTTTTTTCCTAATCATATGAAAGTCCAAGTGCACGCCAACATCGGCCGCGACCTGGTGAATATTACGGATGATGTCCCAACAAGAAGCCGTTGTTGGGCTTCAAGGGCAGGATGGCCCAACTGGCTTCCGCACTCTAACGGCTAACATGAACCGGAGCCAAGAGGTGAAACTTTGTCCTCAGCGACGAATGAGATTTCTATCTTCCTAGAAATAATATAGTGGACCCTGTGAAGTGTTTTGTCAAATGGGAACCTCATTTTGAGTATGAGATTCCAACAGTCAGAAATAGTGGAAGTACTGTCATGGATGAAGATGTGTCCGACCATTCGGCGATTCCCCAGTTCTAGGTATCCAGCGAAATGTGGGTTGGGCTAAGTACAAGTATAGTCTGTAGAATACAATGCTTCCTTTCGATAGTCAGAACTAGCCGGAAAAGATGGGTTTTCTATTACGGAAATAACCCGATGCAGGCCTACCTCCCCACTGCCGCCTTCCTCAACCCAGAAAAAGGAGCTGCTATGAAGCGACCAAGTCAAGATCTGAAGTCTAATTGAGTTCTACATCTCACGGAAAAAGTGGCATGTCGCTCTACCCACGTTCCAGTTAAGAATCCCACCAAACAATGTGCTTTAGTTCACAGTGTATGAGGTCCGACTTAAAATCCTAAAATTATTTTATAATCAATACCATGTCAATAAAAACGACGCTAAGATAGAAATTTAAAGCTACTCATCAAATAACTAATTTATCATGTGGATTTGAGAGCTATTTTGCCGAATTCGCTTTAGAATTCGGAAGTTTCCAAACTTTTGACGCGCCATTTCCTATAAAAATTCGTATTTTTCAAATGCGATTTCAGTTTCAAAAAATCATGTTACCCATCGTAATCTACACTAGATTCTGAATATAATATGTGAATTCGGGGCAATTTCATTGTCTATTGGCTACGCTAGATCAAAAATAAAAAAGTTTCCAAACTTTTGACCGCTACTGTATGTGTGTGAAATGGATGCAGGATTTATCAAATCTGATAGAATCAGGTTGCGAGATTTAGGAGTCAGAGCTGAAGTCGGGATTATTTCCCATGACTGTAGCCACAAGAGTAATTCTTTATTCAAAAATCGTACAATAACATAACAAACCCGAAATATCGTGGTACTTGAACAGAAAAATATTTAACGCCGAATATTGCACACATATGAAAGCAACTATCTGAAGGCTTGAACAGCTATTCTTTGCTTAGTGTGCCAAATATACCATAATAGGAGGTGTGCAGATTTGTTTAGGAACGGTACACCGAAAAGTGGGGAAAGGTAAGGACCATTTGACTTCATTAAATAAGTAGTAGCATAACGATTTCATTAACCCTTATGATCAGGTGCCACCAAAGTGTGAAGAAGAAGCCCCCAATGGTTTCAAATCTAGCCGGTGCGCCTCTCCGACCTGGCATAGGTCATACACGATGCATAGTTACGGATATGTGTTCTAAGCAGTGAGATGAATTGTGTTGTTGAGGTGGTTGCGCCATCAGCAAAGGAACAAGCCAGGAACACCCTACATCCGACGCGCTCTGTTCCTGTTCAGTAACCGTTTGTAGGCCCACACTCGCCGCTTGAACTCCTCAGCATCCTTTGGCCGCGGCACAACACACGGACCACGTTGGGATCGGCGTACAGGTTCCTGCGACAATACATAGAGTTCAGCTTTATCGTATCCCACCTGGAAAGCATGTTGATGAAATGAGGTTCAGAAAAGTTTCTCAGATTATTATTGGAGTATCCAAGAGCTTTCGGAGCTTCTATCCATCACAATACTTGCTGGCCCAAGAGCTGGTTATGCTTGCTATGATTGAGAAATCCTACAGATAACCCTAAGGGACAATTCATGTTACTGTAGTTATGCGCACGATTTTATGTTTTTCATTTAAAGCGAGAAATTACGATAAAATTTCTGTGCAGCATGGAAGAACGAGCAGCACTTCAAGCAGTAGCTAGAGCCCAAAGGAATCGAGATGTGGCCTTTTTGTGACTAAGGTGCGCTCGTTGCAGCGCCCTGGGGCTGCCAATCCTTTCTGAGCTCCGCCTCCGCCTGTGCTCCGCCCCTCAGCAGATCGCTGTTCGATTATCATTCTGATAAGGTATGCCACTTCGAGCGCGTATCCAATTTTTTTCTCATGGAATGCTATATCAATCAAGGTATGATCTCTGGTGGTATGATGGCAGCTATGGTTTAACGAGTGCCGACGACCTCTTAGTTGGTTGCCAACTCGTCCATTATCGGAGGTCAACGGGCAGAGGAAGTGGTCCCATTTTGCGCGTTTTTGACGGATTTCTTTGCTTTTTTCGCTACTAGGGCATTATTCAGCATCTTCACTTCCACTATGAGCACAACAGAATCCTATCGCAATCTCTCGCTTTAAATGTAGCAGTTGCGCCTCGACCTTTAGTTAGAAATGTTGCTGTGCTGATTGATGTCCTTATCTACACTTTCACATTCCAAGTGGTCCGTTACGTATATCCAAATCTTTAACCCTATATCCATCTTTGTGCAATCTATTCTCCTTTATCAATCTAATACAATCGAAAGTAAGGTGGCGATGGCTCCGACGCTGTTGGCAACATCGACTATCGGAAAACGGACAAAGAGGACTAATTGTTAGACCTCAGAAGGAGGAAAGTGAAGAAAGGAGTAGTAATTTTGGGTGAGTAAGAGGCGGATGGCTTTTCTTGGAAGAGCAGTCGGACCTACCTTGTAACGCAACGCGGGCTCAGTGTTCGACCGAAAAGCAATACTCTTATTATTATACGATAGGAAGGAAGCGATAAGGATCGCCTGTATTCTAAGTTTTAGGATTGGAAAAACTCTGTTTTTTCTCGCATTACGACTCACTTTGTAAGTAGGCCTACACGTTGCCCAGCACCAATATCCACGTCATTACGAGCTGGACAGTACTGCGTGAGGCGGTATCTAAAATGAGTGGATCTTTGAAAAATGCAACGAGAAACCCAACGGAGAGTTTCAATAACTTGTTCTATTCTAGAATAATGACAAAATGGGACAAGGAAAATGCCTGGTAAAAACGTACTTTCTTGGCCAGAGTGGGAATCGTTAACACTTTCCGGATCAAGATGGCCCACATTAGTTGAGCAGATGTTGAAACACCGGCTTGACAGTACAAAGTGGCACGCGGGCCTGAAACTTATGTTTGGGCGCGGTAAAAAAGACAAAGGTTTAAATAGTTCAAAGAAGTGAAGGTCAAGGCGTTTGCACTCACGCGAAGGGCTGCATGTATGAAGGAGCATCGGGACGATACATTTCTTTTCTCATGCCTGCAATATTCATTTCTTGTGATATCATCATAACTAGTTGACTGTATAATTGTGAGCTATGCAATAAGGTGAAATTTATCGATATATCCTCAATTGTGGCGCTCGAGGGTCTCCTTTTAATTTCTCCCATAATTGATGATTTCACCTTGATCATTTTAATTTCTTCTCACAAAAAGGTGAAATTTATCGATAATTGATCACAATATTTTGCTATTTGATGTGGGCAGAAGTGAGCCATTAGTAAGGATTTCAAACAAAAAAGAAATCCATCATAGACGAAAGATATTACTTGGAAGAAGTATACTTTTGATTACCGAAAGCTACTGTATAAATCTTACACGTATCCCAAAACACTGCATTAGTGAGAGCCTATGTCGAAAGCATGGCTTAACCCTGAAAACGATGATCAGTGAGATCACTTCGCCCCTTATTCTTACCCTGAAGCAGGACTCTTCATACGAAAGCTAAAGGGAGGTGAGATGGTGGGAGGCGGAGACGGGCGCATGTTGGCGCTGTGTGAGTGCTAAAATACAGCAGAATTTGCGTTTTACGCTGCAATTTTACATACCCCCGTCCTCATGCACCCAATCCTGCCACAAAACAACTACACTCCTGTCGAGCAGGCCCTTGGACATGGCGATTTACTCCGCTCGCAACTCAAACTGTAGCACACAATCGCGGGCCTTGTTCGGAGGGCTACTATGTTGTGTAACATTCGGACTTCTTTTTAGTCATAGAGCATTTTTCAAAATGGTTTTCCTCATTATTATTGGATCACGCACGACACTTACAAAACCTGAGAAATTCACGAAAAACGCGTGTTTTGTTGATTTGCTTTTTTTTGCTTATTTGTGTACTGAGTCGCTTTAGCATCAAAGATCGTTAGGCTCAGCTTCGAGCTTCATAAGAATATGCTTTCAGCTGTTGGAAAAACTGTATCTGGGATTACGCCATGCACTCGAAATTCAGGCGGAGAATATATACACAACGTAGTGCTCAAATCGCAGTACGTGGACGCACACATCTTGGGCATGCTTTTGATGGTCAGGGGTGATCAAGTTAGCAATTAAATTTATTCACGAACGAAACTTCCCCGATTTTGTTTGTTCATGTATGTCAAAAAATCCCCCAGACACAAAATTTTCGGATGGAAAGATAATAACTTGCGACATACACGAACTCATCTAATTGCCATCAGTGCTTCCAGAAGCGTTTCTGTTGTGAACTTTTGTGCAGCGCTCAGAAAAACTGACTTATCTTTTGCTCACGGAAGCTGGGCTAGAGACCAAAACTTTCCGCCCAGGCGCATCCGAGCCCGACACTATCACTGGACCGGCCAAGTGTCCTACAAGCTTATGCTCGAGCGCAGAGTTCCAAGTTATTCTTGGCGCTTTGCCTCGAAGATAATGCGAAAGAGCTACGGGTTTGGATCCCGCTAGTGCTGAAACTTTGTTCAAACCAGCCTATATTGAATGAAACATTCGCACGCAAAACAAAGCGGCCAAACCAGCAATTAACAATGAAAAGAACCAAGCTTTTACATGTTTTTCCTGCCTTTTGAAAGATAATTTCGAATAGTTTTGTAAAAAAACTTTATGTCCTTAATAGGAGTTAGTGCAGTTTCCGTGGAATGTCTTCTTCCCATAAAGACATGCTTGTCAACAAGGCTTGCCTTGTGGGAAGACATGAGTGCTATAAAGAAAACACATGTGAATCGAAATACGGAAGGAAACGAGAGGACTACAGCATAGAAAATTCAGAAAGTGCAAGCATGAGTTTGAGGATCTGAAGGGAATCTCTTTTTTTTTGAACTAGGAAATCTAACAGCGAAGGGACAAGTAAATGTAAATATAATAACTGGGTGCTCTTGACTTGGAAACAAATCGGGGAAAAAAGAACCGGCGGTACTGCTCAACTATTACAATTTCAAATCTCAAAGCAAAATCGTCAATCGTTTGCCTACATGGGCTACTCAAGTTCGTTTTTTTAGCGCTTTTGGCATCTATTGCATTTTTTGCACCATTCCTTAGCCAGTTCTCTGCAACTTGTGCATATAGGACTTGATCATGAATTGGCATTGGTATTATAGAGTGGAACAATATGCACCAGCCTAACAACTGAAATTTTAAAGGATAGTTGCTGTTTCCGTGTGATCAATTGCTCTCGGCATGCGCCACACATTCTACTTTCATTCAGGGTCGCATATTCTACTACTACTAAGAAGGAAAGTGTTTCCGCTTCAAACAAAGAGCCAGGCAATTCGATAGAGCCGGGGAATGCTGGCTACAGATATAAAAAGTTACCATGAGTGGTCAAATTTGGCTGTTGATGCAGCGTTAGTACAATGATATTTGGTAAAAGCACACTTGCGAATTAGACTAATGTCACTATTACGAAGATGACATCTTTTCTCGGCGCCATTTGGGAACAATTTGGAGGCGCCAACCTAGAATGCAAAATTTTTTTCATCTGGGGAATCGAACCTAGGATCAATTTGATCGCTAACGAGTTTCTCGGCTTGTTCGCGTAGCAGTTTTGACCTGCCATTTGTAACCATCATTCCAAACGCTATCGATTCATATAGGTCTCAGTTCAAAGTTCCATGGGAATTTGAAACACTTCCCTAGTAAAATGAATGCCGTATGGCCTACATAACAACTTGCGCTGACCAGGAGACGTACCAATCAGTGATTGTATCCTCCCAGACAAATCTGGTATCAACTGATCGGCTCGGAGAGGGAAGACTCAATTGGCATGGATGAGGATGGGTCGCGAGTGGGCAATTCACCACTACACCACCTCTACTCAGCCTCATATCACTTGACAGCAATAACAAATGCCATAAGTATGACAGGTCAGGTCTACCCCAAAGTGAGGGTTCTTATGATTTTGATTGAAAATATTTTTAGGGTAATTTGGCCGTTATCAGAGCACGATGTAACTCTATCGGTGAAGTTTCACTCAAAAATCTCGTGCGAATGTGCACAGTTGCATTCTTTTGACCGCTACTCCACGCAGCGCCTCCACTTAGGCCAATCTAATCAGAAGTAAGAGTGCCTCACTTGCTCGATCGGTGTCCACGATTTTGCTTGTTTTTTGTCAGTGATTCTTATTTCTATTGGAACTCCAAATTATATGTCAAGTTATTGGTTCTTAGCACGTGCTATTACTATATTTTGTTGACCTCTCCTGTCACCTGACAATGAAAGATTTCAATGGATAACTTTTTGATTTTGGTGTTGTGAAAAGAAGCGCTGCCTATAAAGAGCACTGCACGAGGATCGAATCCACGATAGTACGCCTTTAAGGTCAACCATGTCTCCCATTCTACTAGAGTCGGTCATTTGGAACCATTCCCGCAAGCCTAGTTCGGCCCCTCTAGTCATTGTATTGGAGAGCTTGCTACAAAGTGCCACTACGATTT